GCTCAGTGGGGAGTCTGCTTCTCCCTCTCCCTCCATCCTTCCCCCTTGCTTGTGTTCACTCTCTCTCTCTCTCTCTTTCAAATAAATAAAATCTTCAAAAAAAAAAAAAAAAGTTTGAGTACAGGCTCAAGGGATATGAAGGAGAGAAAATCATGTGAAGACCTCAGGAGAAAACTTAACTTCCCAACCTTCATTTTCCCTTTGTCTTTAGGCCTCCAACTAATTTTCAGTGTGTGTGTGTGTGTGTGTTGGATGCATTATTTTTACTGCCCCCCCCCCTTTTGTTTTAAGTAATCTCTACACCCAGTATGGGGCTTGAACTCAAGACTACGAGAGCAAGAGTTGCATGTTCTATTGACTGAGCCAGCCAGGCACCCCTGTGTTACTTTTAAAGCTGCATTTTAAGTCCTTTTTGGAAAAAGGCACAGTATAATATAAAACACAGTATAGCAAAATAAATGCACTTGAAAGGCACAAAGGCACCTTGAGAAAAATTTGTTTGCAAGGGCAGGCGGCATGGGGGAGAGTTGGAGGTTCAGGCCAACCAAGGATATTCTGGGAAGAAGAAATAGTGTGTGCAAGGCATGATCTAGCAAGGTGCGCTCTGGACAGTATATGCATCAGCAATATTGAATTTCTTCAGGGGTCTTAAATTTGAAGAAGAGAGAAGAAATGAAACTGGATAGGTACGTAAGAGCGGGTCATATGAGTCTTGTTAAAGTTACCTTTGCATAAACCAAGGTTGAATCTCTTCTCCCACTCCAGGCGGTTTGGATAATAGTTAAGGCCCAAATCAGCCATACCACAAATACATCAATATTCCATCCTAGAGAAATACAAAGCTCACCAAACACTGAGCTGTCCAATAGGTCTTTTTTGTTTCTCAAACCCCCTCATATAGGTCCGCATTACATTAATGAAATTTCTGCCAAGCGTTTTTATGGATGCCATGAGAGACAACCCTGAAGCTGCTGTACATATTTTTGAAGGAACTCATGAAAATCCCGAGTTGATTTGGAATGATAGCTCCAGAGATAAAGTGTCTGCAACAGTTAGAGAAATGATGCTAGAGTAAGTAAAGCATTCGGGTAAATCACCAAAAAGGACAGATGTTTTCCACATCTTCCATCACCTCTCTAATATTTATTGTAAAGGTTAATGAAAGTGTATTTTGTGACTGATATTTGATATATTTCCCCCTCCTTTTTTTCCCCCCCAAGGCACTTTAAAAATCAGCAAGACAACCCTGATGTAAATTGGAAGGTAAAACATACTTTTATTCAGAGGAAGGAATTCTACATTTTACTGTATTTTTTGTTGATTTGTTGTTTTTTAATTCCTACTGAGTCGGTTTAATGACTATTAGATATTTCGTCATTAAGACATTTAAATATTCCCCTGGAAAACAAGGTTTTAAATTTAAAAATAGGGATATTCACTTTTTAAGTAACCAATCAAAGCACCTTTTTTGAATTTTATTAAGGGAAATAAAACTTATGGTAATTATAATTTGATTATATTAATAACCATTAATGGGATTTGCATTTTTTGTGTCACGTAGGACTAATGCCTAAGTGACTTGACTATGATTCTTTCTTTCTTTAAAGTTGCCTGACGATTTTGCTGTGGTGTTTGGAGAAGCAGAGGGTGAACTTGCTGTTGGAGGAGTTTTCTTGAGAATCTTTATTGCACAACCAGCATGGGTTCTAAGGAAGCCCAGAGAATTTCTTATTGCACTATTAGAAAAATTAACTGAGTTCCTGGAGAAGAACAATCCACACGTAAGCTTCAGCCAGCAGCAAAACATTTCAGATAGTTTGCTAAATATACTGATGGTGTTTCTGTTAAAACACCATCCTCATTGACCATACATTAAGAATTGGCTACCTCTTTCAATATAGCGGCCACATTTAAATTCAAATATACGTATACATCTTTTTGGGGGCATTTCGAAAGTGAAACTCGTTAGCAAAAGAGTTATTTCTGAACCAAAGTTGGAGATGTCTATTTACAGAACGCTATTTCTTAACAACTGCAGAGGCTCTAAAAGAAGGTTTTTGCCACCCCATTTCCAATGACTACATAATTTTAAGGAGAAACCTAAATGTTCAGTGTTCCTCTGGAAGTGTGTTCTTCACTCAGCTTTCCATATATGACTGGGATGACCCTCATGAAAAAAGTTGACAGGAGAGTAGTAACTATATGAGTGAACCTAGAACCTGTGTTCAAAGCCAAAAGCTACTAGGGAAGCAGGAGTGAGAAAGTAGCCTTGGTCTTCATTTGCTGAGTCAGAAATCATGGTAGTATATAAAGTTTTGTTATTTAAACCTTTAGATTAAAAATAATTGAGGTACGTGACTGTTGTTATATTAAACAGGCTGGCTATGGGGGAAGGTGATAAAGAGCCCAGGCTGTGTTATTAGATGGTCCGGGACCCCAGCACCAGCTCCAGTACTGACTAACTCTGTGACCTTGAGCACTACTTCGTGGCTCTGCCTCATTTATAGATAGATCACAGCTCCTGTCCCTAAGGCTGAGGTTTTAATGAGTTTTGATCTATAGAGGGTCCTTAGCATAATGTCTGGCACATGTCAGGTACCTAGAAATTACTGGTTACTATCATTAGCTTAGCAGAACTTCAGAAAAAAAATTATTAGTTTACCAGATACTTGCATATGTCACTTTCCCCCCGTCATGTTTTCTCTTTACTAGGATTTTTACTATATACATAGTTTCCTTAAAAAAAATGAAATGATCAAAAAGCAGAAACTTAGGGGGAAAAAAAACCCCACAATATTTCGTTATATCACCGTTCTTTGTGGGCTCATTCCAATTTCCATGTTCATTTAAGATGCTGTGGTTGTGTATGTCTGCATATAATGGTGTAAGTTACAGGTCTTTGCCATCCACAACAGAAAGTGCCTTATGGCAGCCAGACCTGTTCAGTAGGATTTTTAATAGAACTGGGAAACACATTTCATGATTTCTGCATTCTCTTGAACTAGTGATGTTCCCTGATACTCATATTTCTATAACATTGACTAAAACTTTCTAGTAGTATCTTTTGGGAGATGATCTCTTAAACCTGCAACAGAAATGAGATATGACATGGCCCAATGAAAGGCTGCTTAGATTAGCATATGACATTCTTAAAGTCCTTGGAATTCATGCCTTTTCTCAAGATGGGAAGTTTGTTGTTTTCTTAGGATTTGTGAATCAATTTTCAAAAATCAGTGCTTAGAATTTACAGATCTCTAGGATAGAATATCACATAATTTCCAAGGATGTTTAGGACTTACTTTGTCAGTATTTTATAGTTTGTTGGTTTGTTTTACACCCTCCAGGGAGAAACTCTGGAAACTTTGACAATGGCCACAGTATGTCTCTTTAATGCACAGCCTCAGCTGGCTGACCAGGTCCCACCATTGGGCCACCTCCCCAAAGTGATCCAAGCAATGAATCATAGGAACAATGCCATTCCTAAGAGTGCCATCCGCGTTATCCATGCCCTGTCTGAAAATGAGGTATTTATGAATGCATTTAGTAGCTTATAATTCTGGAATTTACTTATGCTCCCCTCTTCCTGATTAATGCACATTGCAGTATAAATCCCCTCCCTACCATGTGCCTTTCTGCATATGAACCAACAGTATTGTAACAACTCTTAAACTAGTTCAAATGGTATAATTAATAGGAGACTGAATTTGAATTCATTATTAAACTTGAGCTGAATGGAGGTTTTTCATATATTTTTTGTATTGTGCTAAATGAAATACTGCTGTTCTACAAATAACGTTCTTTTTTTTTGCGGGGGGGGGCCACTTAGCTATGTGTTCGAGCCATGGCATCTTTAGATACCATTGGCCCGCTGATGAATGGAATGAAAAAGCGACCAGATACTGTTGGTCTAGCCTGTGAAGCAATTAATCGAATGTTTCAGAAGGAGCAGAGTGAATTAGTGGCACAAGTAAGTGACTTTCTAGATTCAGTACTATTTTAGGAAAACAAACATGCCAAGTGAATAGACTTAGCACTGATTTGGTTTCTCTGACTTAAGTTTAATAGGGAGATAACTTGTGGGTTTGTGCATACATGATTTTATATTTTATACACACATACACAGGCACATACATATATATATGTGTATATGTTATATATACACACATATACGTACATTCATACACACACTGATAAAGGTGGACCAACTGTCAAAAATCTTACCAACTTCAGGGCGCCTGGGTGGCTCAGTCGGTTAAGCGTCCAACTCATGATTTTGGTTCAGGTCATTATCTCAGGGTGGTGAGATTGAGCCCCATGTCGGGCTTTGGGCTGAGTGTGGAGCCTGCTTGAGATCTCTCTCTCCCTCTCTTCCTCTGCCTCTCCCAGCCCTCTTGTTCCTGTGCTCTCTTTCAAAAAAAAAAAAAATAATAATTTCAAAAATGTTTAAATTTTAAATTTTGGTTTTCTGCTAAGCATTTATTCTTAGCTTGCTTTGTAAAATTTACTTCCTGCTCTTTGGAAAGACTCACTCTGTTTATTGATGCCTTCATTTCTTAAGTCATGTTTAAGAAATATGCCAAGATACTGTCTTTTTCAAAGAGACTACCCTCCCACCTAATGTAAATAGGACTTGGTGGATACCAATGTAGAGTAGACAGACCCTAAAGGAACAAAAACCATTGCAAAAGTGATCTTTCTAAAATACAACTCTTAAATATAACTGGGTCACTGTTCATCTTAAAAACTTTTCATTGGTTTCCCATTACCGCCAGATGACAAAGTGACAGTTGACATCCTTAGCCTCAGTACAAGGCCCTGCATCTTTATATCTGGCCCTCCAATTCTCCTGGCCCCTGTTCCTCTCCCATTCTCTATCCCCACCCACCACTTGCCCCTCTTTTAGGCAGGTTAGAAGTACTGGGTACCTCTCAAAGAAGTAACCGGATGCTCTGAAGTTCAAACTTAAAATTGGCTTGGAGGGGGTTGTACTACCCACTTGATGGTCCTGTGACCTCAGGCATGACACATAAACTTAACAACATTCAGATTCCTCATCTGTGGAATAGTTCTGATTCCTCACGGGGTTGTTAGGAGAATGGTATCTATAAAGGGAGGTACACTCACTAAATGTTAGTTACTTCCACCTCTTCCCTTTGAGCTTCAGGGTGGGTAGTGAAAATTGTGTGATACCTGAGTATTATCTAACTTTTATTAGGCTGATGGGAAATGTGTGGTGAATGCAAAGGTTGATGTTTTAAGAAGACATGAAAAAAAATATTAAGATACTTCAAATTTTGTGCCCATTTGTGTGGTTGTGATTAGAAGCAGCAGCCCAGTATAGTGGCTAAAGGTCATGTTCAGCACTTTGTGGGCCTACATACAGATTCCATCACTGTCTGTGACTATCAGGTTTTACTCTCTAGGTGATGATTTTTCCATCAGTAGTAACCATAGTGGCTGCGTCATTACATGTTGTGGGGATTAAGTAAAATAATCAGTCTGCAGCATTTAGAACAGTTGAACGGCATGGAATAAAATCCCATTAAGTAAGAGTGTCCTTATCATTAGATCTATAAAAGAAATCTTTATCTGCATTAAAATGAAAGAAAGGAGTTTGTCTTCTTCCAGGTATGGGTCTGGGGTGAAATTGTTTCTTCAGTGAATTTTTTTCAGCATATTTATATATGCTTAATATTTTCTTTTAGGCCCTGAAAGTAGATTTGGTCCCATACCTCTTAAAATTACTCGAAGGCATTGGCCTTGAAAATCTCGACAGCCCAGCAGCCACTAAGGCTCAGATTGTTAAAGCTCTCAAGGCCATGACTCGAAGCCTGCAGCATGGAGAACAGGTGAGTCTGCACAGGGGTGACTTCAGTTTGCTGGGTACAGTAGGGTAGTCGCCGAGCCAAGGGTCTTGGCCATGGATGATCATTGCACCTCTCCTCATAGACTCAAATAGTCACTTAGCGGGGGGGGGTCTTTTTTTGAATACTGATAGCATGTTGTACATTTCAAGAAGAAAAATGCTGGAATTCTTCAGCATAGAAGAATATTGAGCATTTAGTGCTGGTTAAGGTTAATGTTTAGTTCTAGGATTTATTGCTGGGTAGTGATAACCACATTCATTAATCCCATAATGCCATTTCCGAATGCCATTTTAGTTTTATCCTCTTTTTTTGTTAATACTGTGTCAGTCGCATGCATATGCTGACTTCCAGCTGGCCCAGTAATTTAATTTTCCTCTTTGGCTTCATTCTTATTGTTGCTTCTGAGGAGTTCCTCATTCAGTGTTATCATCCAGCATTATCTACTAATGCTCTCTTGCTCTGTTTTTTTTTTTTTAAATTCAGGTGAAATTTACACAACATGAGATTAACCATTTTAAAGTGAACAATTAGTGTTTTGCGTATTAACATTGTTGTGCCACCACCACCCTATCTAGTTCTAAAACATTTTATCACCCCAAAAGGAACCTCTATACCCATTAAGCAGTTCCTCCCCATTTCTCCCTCCCCCCAGCCTCTGGTGAGCACCACTTTGTTTCCTGTGAATTCACCTATTCTGGATATTTCGTATAAATGGAACCATATAGAATATGACCTTTTGTGTCTGGTGTCTGTCATTTAGCATGTTTTCAAGGTTCATCATGTTAATAGCATGTATCAATGCTTCATTCCTTTTTATGGCTGAAATATTCCTATATGTATATGCCACAATTCGTTTATCCATTCATCTGGTGATAGACATTTGGTGTTTTTTGTTTTTTGTTTTTAAGGATTTTATTTATTTGAGAGAGAGAATGAGATAGAGAGCATGAGGGGGGGAGGGTCAGAGAGAGAGGCAGACTCCCTGTTGAGCAGGGAGCCCGACGTGGGACTCAATCCCGGGACTCCAGGATCATGACCTGAGCCGAAGGCAGTCGCTTAACCAACTGAGCCACCCGGGCGCCCCGTTTTTTGTTTTTTTTTTTAAGATTTTATTTATTTGTCAGAAAGCGAGAACACAGGCAGGGGGGAACGGCAGGCAGAGGGAGAGGGAGAAGCAGGCTCCCTGCTGAGCAAGGAACCCGATGCGGGACTCGATCCCAGGACCCTGGGATCATGACCTGAGCTGAAGGCAGACGCTTAACCGACTGAGCCACCCAGGCGCCCCAAGACATTTGGACTGTTACTCCCTACTAATGTTCTTTCGTAGGTTTAAATTGTCTTTTAGTGATTCCACTGTGTTTGTGTAGAGTCTCACTAAAGAAACATTTGTTATGCCATTGTCCATTCTATCCGTATCACCATTTGAACATTTTAAAATAATATTAAAGAAGAGAGACCACATATCGTGCTGCAGTCATCAGCTATATGTTTAGAAGTATTTGGGTTTTTTTTTTCCCGTGGGCGTTCTGAACTTGCCAAGCAGAGGCACTCCTGTGTACCATGTACAGGCAGCTGTCTTACCCTCGACCTGCCTCAGGATTTCTGTTGATGAAATTAGCCAAGTAACCCTGACACCCATCTTCCAGTCTCAAGAGGAGGAAACAGGTGTGATAATTTTCAAAATAGCAGCTCCTCCACCACCTTCACAAGTAATTACTTCCAGTGGTGCCTCCAAGCTCAAGACAGGGAGTCTCTTGGACTCGCATGGCCCTGTGTGTATCTCTACTCTGTTGCCTGCCACCAAATTATCTGGTGCTGGCTGTCTCCCCCACTAGGACTAGACTATAAGCACTTCAGAGACAGGCTGTCTTTCTCCTCTTTGTGTCCATTGTGCCTCCACATAAGGAGGGAGGTACCCAATAAATATTTGATCTGAATGTTAATATGCAAAAGACAGCCTCTGAGTTTTTTAATATGTATCACACAGAAATATGTCCTTCATCTTAGTCCATTACACTCTACACACATATTTTATACTCCTATATATACATACATACATCACAGGTAGTATTTACCCATTTTACATGTGATACTCTGGTGCTTTCTGTATTAAACTGTTAATCTCAAGCATGCTGATCACAATCCTCTTAATCGATTTCATAAACTTCTAACAGGTCACAACCCATAATTTGAAAGACTGCTTTAAGTTTTAGTTTGAGTTTGTAGCATCTTCTCCCCAGACCCCTTCCTTGGGAATACTTCATGAGCTCATGACACACTCTCAGCCAGTTTTTAGTATCACAAGAAAGTCTTCGTGCCCAACTTAGAAACAAGCCAGTAAATTATAGGTTCAAATACCAGCGTCCAACTCTAGAGGGAAGATTGACTTCTTAGGAACTTCTTTGGGTCTGGTTTAAGGAGATGTGCCTCTTCCAGTACCTGGTATAGAGTGATGAATGCTAGGTCTCGCTCCATCTTTGGATCTTTCCTCAGCTGACCTTCCTTTTGTCTTGGAAGTTTGCTTTTTCTCTTTAGTTCTGTCTTCCAGTACCCAGTCCCTATTAATTAATTTGTGCTCAAAGAGTTTGCTTTACTTCCCTAGGTGAATGAAATCTTGTCTCGTTCTTCAGTCTGGAGTGCCTTCAAAGATCAGAAACATGATTTGTTTATTTCTGAGTCACAAACAGCAGGATACCTCACAGGTAAACCGCACCTAATTGGTTACTCTAAGACATAGGGCACAGCCACTTGAACCTTCCTTTTGTCCTGACTAGACTGAATGTAGCACTTAGAGTTTCTTCCTAGGCTGCTAGCCACCTGTCTTGGGGATGCTGCGGGTGTGCGGTGGACCTCTGGGGTTAGCCCTGGACAGATGTCAACTGCTGTTGTGTTGAATGTGTGCTGACTGAAACGTGGACCTTGGTCAGTTGTAACCCAATTAATTCATGGTGTCATAGGTTACATTTGGAGCATGATATTAAAATGTTTATCTTGAGCATGTAAAAAGTATAGAGAAATATCTACTCAGAAGTATCAGTATCAGAAACATGGTAGCATCGTTCCATTTCTGCCAGAGTAACAGTTTGAAACTCCAAATATGTACATTCATCTGTGAAATACTTTCCTTCTAAGTTTCTAGTGGTGATTCTGTAGTTTTACAAAATATTTACAGTTTGTCCTCTCAAGGGAAGAAATATGTGGGTACCATAAAGGAAAAGACATTTTATTGTGTAAGGATCAAAAGATCATAACATTTTTGAAGTTCAGGACATTTGTCCATTTGACACACTAATTGCATAACAGTTTTGGAATATTTGTTTTCATACTGGCTTCTATTTAAAAAGAAAATCGTACCATTTTATTGCTATATCTGAAGATGAAATATAGTCTCTGGTATAAAAGTTTTCAGTTAGAAATTAACCTTAAGAATAATAGGTGGTTTTTGCTATCTGCTTGTGTATAGTATGTATATATATATATATATAAAGTCAGCTCTGCATCCTCCTCTAACCAGAGAGGATGTGGGTAGACTGAGAGGAAAAAAAATAGTACCCACTGGTTTGCATGCCAGTGTAATTGTTTTAGTAATCCTGATCACTAGTATAGAAGTTTATAAATCAGGAAGACTAAATCTTGAGTATTTAAAAATGGCAACTTTAGAAAACATTTTGCTTGTTTTTAATTTTAGTCTCAATTGTGACACTACTGCTTTTTTCTTCACTATGACCACTTTCATTTGAATCCACTAAAATGTATAAGCAGAGCCCTAACATTTATAAACACACGGTGCTTTGATTGCCAGCCCTGGGTGTACATGAATGAAGAGCAGTGTCATAGGTCTCACTTCTAACTTTTCCGTTCCCTGTCCTGTGATTTCTATGGAGAGAAATACCGAGAAAATGGTCTTTGTTTATCTCCTATCTCTCTTTCAAATTTGAAGTAAAGTTGTAGCTTCTAAGTAAGAGTATGTTCTCTTAACAGGCACACTAAAAACTTTCTCTCTTTAGACTCTTCCCAGAAGTTTACATAATACCACCTCTTTGTGGCATTACATTCATTACTTTGTATCTAAGGATGTTGTGACTGGAAAATCTGCCTGATTTTTTTCCAGCTAAAAATAACTACTCATTTAAAGTTTGGCCCTGAAGATTAATAAGATGTAGATTATAAGCTTCCCTACAGGGAGACCTCTTTTTTTTTTTTTTAAGATTTTATTTATTTATTTGACAAAGAGGTAAAGAGCACAAGTAGGCAGAGCAGCAGGCAGACAGAGGGAGAGGGAGAAGCAGGCTCCCGGCTGAGCAGGGAGCCCCATGCGGCGCTCGATCCCAGGACCCTGGGATCGACCTGAGCCGAAGGCAGACAATTAACCGACTAAGCCACCCAGGCACCCTTGGGGAGACCTCTTCTAATTTGTTGTGATCTCCGTTGTGCTTGGTGTTCATTGACTTGACTTAATAGAGTAAAAGACTTGAGATGGTACTTGACTTACTAACAGGATGTGGGCCGAAAGGGTCTGCGGTTAGAATATGGAAGAGATAGGGATTTATCTTCAGGGACCTAGGTTTCCTTTAGAAATCTTTGGATCCTCACCCCATCAAATTTGCTAAAACTAGAGAAAAAAAGTACAGGGATTAAAAAGATTCCTATCTGTGCCTTTCCTTCTACTTGGATCCCTGGGGTGGCTTCTGAGTAAGGTGTGAGAAGAGCTATGATGAGCTGTAGGGAGGTAAGAGGGTTGGGGAGGAAGAAGAACTGGGGTCACAAATTTTTTCACATCCTCCTTTGGGCCCACTCAAGGGGCAGCAGGTTCTGTATAAAGCCGGTCAAAGGGGCAAAGGTATAAATCCCAACTCAGAGATGGACTGGTGTTACTGTGGCCATTCCAAAGGCCCTCCTGAAGCCTGCCATCCACACGGGACAGTCTGGAATAGCTCTGAACTGTGTTGGCCCCCAGATTGTCCCAGTTCTTAGCACATCACCAATCTGGGATATTCTTTTGGTGAGATGTTTGAAAAGAATTTTCCCATCAGTTCCAGACTTTTTTGAAAGGACTGTTTAAAGAGTCAGAGCACTACCACTTGAGTTGTTGTCTGCTCATTGTTTAGATTGCCAAATGTGATGAATGCTAGGTCTCACTCCCTTCCTGTGTTTGAGTTTTTCCGTGGGTGCTTTGTATTGTGTGTCATGTGTTTGCTAAAGGGACAAGTTCTTCTAATAATGGTAAAATCGCGTGTATAACTCCGTGGAATGTATACAGTGGTGTGTTGAGTTGGAACTTTAATCAATTAGGATTTACCCCACCCTACCCTCGGTCTTGAGAGGATTCTCATGGTGGCCAGCCCCTCTCTAATCAGTGTGCAAATGAAGTAAGGCACTATGAGAACACACTCCACTAGCCCTTTTTCTAAAATACCTGTGGGTGAGTTTGGCAAGTAAGTGGATTTTGCGTAGGAGATGGGAAAAGATAAATGAAAGTTAATGACTATTTCAAAGTAGGATAAGAAGAAAAAAAATCATTTATGAATGATTTTTCTTCACCCTGGCTGCTGAGCAGATACCATTCAGTCACACGCTCAGGATTGGGGTTATAAATAAAGTGTCCTAGGCAGGATTACTCATTGTTGATGAATTGAGATGAGACCGCCTGGTTCCATAGGCTCTCTAGCCTGGCATACTTGTTTTGTTTTATGATTAACACTTAATCTGAAAGTGTCTCTGAGATTTTACCCATGATGCAGAAAAGCTGTGGTTGCCTGTGGGCCCTGTTACTTAGCTGTTTATTAGGTTCTAGAAGAGCTGGGTACTGACAAGCTCAAGGCCCTATAAAAATAATTTGGTAGTGAAAATCCTCAATTTACCTCACTCATAAAATCAGAATAGGGAAGGAAGGAACAACAGGGAAAGGAAGAGAAGCAGACCAAGGTAAACATGCTTGTAGAAGTCGGAAATGAAGATGAAGAACTTTGTATACGTACACAAGACATGTACACACATACATTTATATTTAATTGGAATTGGAGACGAAGAGCTTTATACATACACACACCTGTATATATTTATATTATATTTAATTAGAGGCATGTGGAATAGTTCACTTGGCTTCCTAAGGTCATTAAAGGGAGAGAGAGTGCAGTTCTTGGGTCTCTCCTCAAACCAGTCTGTCCATTCTTTACAGAGTCGGGGCTTTTTTTTTTACCTTGTGTTTTTCTTTTTACACCTGTCCCAAGACTACACAGTGTGAGCGATGTTAGGAAAGATTCCCTAAGGTCGTCAGTTTATCATAGGTCACTGACTGCTAAGGCAGAGCTTCCTCCTTGTTATTTCCCTGCTGAGAAGCCCATGTTCATTTTTACCAAAGCCCATGCTCTTTCCACTACTCTGTAACTGCAGCCAGTTCTATTTTGTGGGATTCTTCGTTAATTGTCCATCTTTTCTCGTTCTTAAGTCTAGCAGCCTGGCACAATGTTGCCGCCTGCCGCATTTCTGGCAGCCCCTACTCTGTCCTCCCATCTTTCTCTGGAGAACACAACTGCTCTGTCCCATCCTAATGACTAGACTGTACCTTCTGGCCCCTGGAAACCAGACGTGGTCTAAAGGAGAGGGCAGAGGTGTGAGGAAAAGAGCATTTCAGACTTTATGTACAGAAATGTCCAGGAATTGGTTTGCCCTTCCTAAAGCAGCAAATGGTGGGGCTAGAATTTGGTTTCTTGTGGATGATCCTTCTAGGCCCATCATTTCACAATTTAATTTTAGCCCAGAGGTTCCCAGACTTTCTCAGTTCATGGTGCCCTTAATATCTTTGTGATTTTTTTTTTTCAATCTACCCTTAGGCCAAAAGAAATAACTCAATGGTTAAGTTTAAGTATTAGGTCCAAACAACTTGAAAGTGGTTGTGTGATGTCCAATAAATGTTGCTGTGTTTCTCTCCAATTTAAAATATCTAGCAGCACCCCTATGAATTTGTCCCAGGGTGCCTCAGCACACAGTTTGAGAACAGTAGCCTTAGTCTATTTTCTATGTAGCATTCATGATTTGGTCTCGTAATCTACTCATTTGACGTGAACCAAGTTGAGTCCACAGTTGGAAGTGCTTGGGAACTTTACCGATGCCGGGTGTTTGGGGCTCTGTTCTTCAGGCTTCTATCTTTGGTGAGACCTACGTAATAGTTCTGTGGTAATCTTGCTGCTGCCTAAGGTTCAAAGAGTGATAGGTCGGTGCGAAGTGACGGTAACAGCGGGCGCTGTAGCTCTGCACTGCCCCGTTAGAGGGGGTGGGTTGCCCCAGTGGTCTTCTCCTGGGCAGTCTAGGGACGGCCTGGCACCCTGATGGGCAGGAGGCAGGAGGTGACAGATGCGGGCCTTACAGTTTCTTAAAAAGGGAAAATCCCTTTTCCACATTTTATTAGTTCAGGGTTCCGAGTGCCTCGGCCCTCTGGTTGGCATGTGACAGCTGACGCAGGCTGAAGTGTCTCTGGCTGTGCAATTACATGCTAGATGCAGTGTTTGCTCAGGGATGCGAGCCATTCCACATCCTCGGTACAAGTGCTTGTAAGGTGAACAAGATGAACCTGAATTGTGCCCCTGTTGTCCTGCATTAGTCCCTGTTATGCCTTAGCCTTCATCAAACTGCTCTGCTGTTTGCACTTCCTTTTAACTTCCCTTGCTGCTTATATTTCTTTTTTCCCCTCAGGTATCTCTCCTTCCCTTCTAACTGGCAGCAGCCCCCTTCACCTCAGGAGCGGGCTTTAGATCCGCTCTGCCAGGCAGCTTGCTAACTTCTGTGTAGCTCTCTGAAGCAGGTAGAGAACCATTTTGCTAAATGCATGCCGCTTCCACTGCCTTTCTAGTTCTAACCCTCTGATGTTCCTTAGCCGTTTGCCTTATTTCCTACGGTTTCAGCTAAAAGTATTGCTCAGTTGGTGGTATTACACTACAATGTCTCTCGCAAGTACTCTGTACGGTTTGTGCAGTGCTTCTGGGATGTAATTGTCTCTGCAGTGTTTAAGATAAACTGGAGGGCTAAAGCCATTACAGAGAATGCTCATAGGACACATCTTGATAAATGCTGGCATACGTAGCATTTCCATGCACTGGAGATGGTTAGAATCAAGGAAGACCTAGAAAACGAAAATACCGATACCTTTTCCCCTAGCATTATTATTTTGACCTATGACAGATGTCCAGAGCTTCCCTTTTTTAGAGATGTTGGTGTAGCAGCCCTGTTCATTTGGTGTTACTTGTTACGATAGCATTTCTTTGCACCAAATGAAAGTTGGTTACCTTGAATGTTGATAAAGTGTTTTTCTTGGGCATTTCATCAAGTATAACTTTTGGATGGGCTGACTGAGTATAGAGTTTCTTTCCTCTACTTGTTTCCCCCCCCCTTTTTATTTCTTTCCCATTTGACATAGCTATCCTTCAGTGCCCAGGATTTTTTGAAACATTAAAGTCCCAGAATTGAGAAGGGACAGTTTCCCATGTTTCCACACCAGTGTGACTGTCCAGCCTCAATTTTGAAATAATTTTTAACTTTGTCACCTAGTAAAGCCATACCTTGCAAATGGCCCTGTGTAGCTGTGAGTTAAGATGTGATAAGGTCCTTGACTAGCTTCTGACGTTTTTTAGAAAGGTCCGTGTCTTCCCGTGGCTCTGCTCTCTAGAAGGTGTGGTTTTCCTTTCTCTCTTGCAGGACCTGGAGTTGCTGGCTACCTTACTGCAGGGACATCCTCGTCAGTCATGTCTAACCTGCCGCCTCCCGTAGACCACGAGGCAGGCGACCTTGGCTATCAGACTTGACAGATTTGTGAGAGACAATAAATGCTGAAAGGCCAGTGCCCGGTCCACATTCCTCCAGCTGATACGTTGAAGCAAACTCTTACTGCCTTTCTCCTGGTTTCATGACAGTATTATTCCTTTTTCTATACAAATATTTTTATTTAGGAAAAAAAGTCAGTGATTCTAATTGTATCACATTGTAAGAAAGCACTCTGTGGATCAACCTAAGTGGGTACACAAGAATTTTTTTTTCTTGATGTATGTAAGCACATTCTGTTTCTTTATATCTGTTTACAAGACTGTGAATCAAGACAAAACTTTCTTCCTAGTTTTTATAATGTTTTTTTGAATTAGTGTGACTCTGGGGTTGAACTGCAATCTACAGAAATTGGACTAAAAGTCACTTATCCCCGGAAAAGGGTCTTTTCCTCTCCTGCATCGAGTCCACATGGCTGTCCTCCTCCACCGTCAAACACTATTAGGTTTTGTCCTTGCGCCTGTTCCCTGGTATCCTCTCCTCAATCATTAACCTTCTGAGAGCTCACAGTACACGTCGGTATGTATAACTGGCTTTACCAAACTGGATGAAAAAGGAGCTTGTGCAAAAAAATTTAAAAATTTAAAAACGGATGTCAAGATGTTATGTAAGAGATTAGTGTAATTGTGAAATGTTCTATACGTTATCAGATATATAAAGCTTTCTATATTGAATGTACATTATACAGATCATTCATATGTGTACATAAAATTTTAAAAATAAAGGGAATTGACTGCTTTGTTAATGAGATATATTTGTTCTAATTTAATTTTTCCCATGGAAGACCTCATATCTGTTCCTAAGACAGATTTGGTGGTAGGAATAAACACAGACTTCCCTTACATTCACTGCTCCTTGGACAGACAACTACACTGACACATCTGATCATTCCTAACGTCCTTTGTTAATATTTCAGCCACATCTTAATTTCCAGAAACATAGCATTTCATTTATTTTCTCTTAAGTAATTCAGGAGTGGGCCAGCCAATATATTAATACTCTAATGTGTGAGACACATTAATTCCAGTATTTTTAAGAGGAGGGAAATTTAGAGTGAGAACAGATTTTAAATAACACAGATCTCAACATGTAGGTCTCCTAGTATGATCACAAACTGCAAGAAAATATAAACATGTAAAGAATACAAACATTTCTTAAAGAATGAGGAAATACCCAAACCTTCACATTGCCTTTGAAAGCAAGAACCAAGTTTATTCCACAGTTGATGTGTAAACAGAGCTAGAATGGAATGGAATCACTAATTCAGAATTTTGCATCATCTCTCAAAGATTTTGGAATAATATGCCCGTGTAAGTATTCTAATATATAACTACTTTTACTTTCCAGATGATACTTGTCCTAAAAATATGTTCATTAAAAGAGATTATAACAGCTAATTTAGGAGTAGGTGTTTTAGGAGAGTGCAAATCAATATACTTCCTTTAAATACTGTGAGAACATAAATACTGTATTTATGATATTTAAAAGGCTGTTTAATCTACAATCATTGATACTTGAATAACAGTAATAGCTCATCTTTATTGAACATTGCCTGGATGCCAAACATTGTATAAACTTACACATACATAGCCTCATTTAATCCTTAGAGCAAGCCTATGGGCTTGATACTGATAAAATTTTCATCTTCTAGGTGAAGAACATGGGCTCAGAGAGGCAAAGCAACTTAGCAAAAGTCACACAGTAAGTAACAGGGTAAGAAATCCAATCTACTTAGACCTGACACCAAAGTCTGTGTTCTGAGCCATGATCACAGCAGCAGTCTCCAGCAGGTATATGTAACTAGGAAAACTGAGGGGGTTTTTGTTTTGTTTTTAAATATTTTATATTGTAAACCAAAACAGGTACAGAATATCTCACTGAACAAGTTAGTTTAATGAATCATTATATAAGCCAAATCACCCTTGAAACTACCATCTAGATCAAGAACTTTGTCAGCCTTTCCAGAAGCCCCTTCATGCGCACCCATCAAAATCACAGCCCCTCCTAGCAAAAGTGACCACTTGTCCTACACTCCCTTGTGTTTCTTTGTAGTTTATCACCCATGCGTATATCCCTAAACGTTTGGTCTTGCACTTTTTCTTCTTTAAATATGTTTTGGGTCTTTTTTAATCTTGTGGCTCCCCTTCCATCCCCTTTTCCCCCATAACTTTGTTGAAGGCCCCAAGGCCATTTTTTGTTTTTCCCAGAGTTTGGAAGTTACTGATCACACACTCCTGGTGCAATTCAACTTAATCCTTTGTCCTTTACATCCAAGAGCTTGATCAGATTCAGGTTCCATCCCTTTGGCAAGACTAGAGGGGTGTTGGGTTCTTTTGTTTAGAAGTACATTATGTCTGTAGGTCATGTGATATTGACAATAATGGAAGCTCAGTGTGACTAGATCCATTTGTACGTCAGGAGCTACCAAATGCTGCTATTCTGAGGCCCTTTCTTAGTAACTGGAATATTTTTATAAGAAATGCTTCCTGCAGAAAAAGAAAGAAAAAATGTTAAGCAGGACTACATCAAACTAAAGTTTCTGCACAACAAAGGAAATCATCACCTACTGAATGGTAGAAAATACTTGTAAATCATATCCAATGAGGGGTTAATATCCCAAATCTGTAAAGAACTCAATAGCAAAAAATCTGATTGAAAAATGGGCAGAGGATCTATATAGACATTTCCAAAGAAGACATATAGATGGCCAACTGGCACATGAAAAAATGTTCGACATCATTAATTATCAGGGAAATGCAAGTCAAAACCACGAGGTACCACCTCACACCTGTTAGAATGACTAGTATCAAAAAGGCAAATAACAAATGTTGGAGAGGATGTGGAGAGAAGGGAACCCTCATGCACTGTTGGGAATGCAAACTGGTGCAGTCACTGTGGAAAACAACATGGAGGTTCCTCAAAAAATTAAAAATAGAATTACCATATGACCCAGCTATTCTACTTCCGGGTATCTGCAGAAACAAAAACACTAATTGAGAAAGATACATGCACCACCTGTGTTCTTTGCAGTGTTTTTTACAATAGCCAAAATATGAAAACAACCTAAGTGTCCATCAGTGGATGAATTTGGATAAAGAAGATGTGAAATATATATATATTCAGGGGAGAAGGCGTTCGGGGGTAGGCAAGATGGGTGAAGGGTGTCAATTGTATAGTGATGGGTGGTAACTAGACTTACTGTGGTGATCACTTTAGTTTCTACAAACACTGAACTGTTATGTCATATAACTGAAACTAATATAATGTAATATACCAATTTTACCTCAATAAAAGAAAGAAAAAATGAAATGCTTGCTTTTATCTGCTATTTGTTACCCAGTGGCACATTTTGTATGGGAAAGGCAGGAGGAAGGCTTAATTCATTTCCTTATCAACTTTCAAAATAATTAATTTACTCCCTGTCTGTCCTCTTCTGGTGACCAATTTGCTTTCTTACTAGTACCATTATTGTCGTATTTTTTAGTATCATAGATTTAAACATTTGCTGTGTTTCACTCCTTTGTGCTTATAGGCATACCTTGTTTTGTTGCACTTGCTTTATTGTGCTTCACAGATACTGCATTTTTTTTTTTTTTTTTTTTTTACAAATTGAAGGTTTTGGCAACCCTGTGTCAAGCAAGTCTTGGCACCATTTTTCCAACAGCATTTGCTCGCTTCATGTCTCTGTGTCACATTATGGTAATTATTGCAATATTTTAAGTTTTTTTATTATTACTATATTTCTTTGTATCTGTGATCACTCATCTTTGATGTTGCTATTGGAATTATTTGGGGGAATCACAAACCATGCCTGTGTAAGACCATGAACTTAATAAATGTATGTGTTCTGGCTGTTCCGCTCACTGGCTGTTCCCCAGTCTCTCCTCGGGCTTCCCTGTTCCCTGAGACATAACAATATTGAGATTAGGCCAATTAATAACCCACAATGACCACAGAGTGTTCAAGTGAAAGAAGAGTTGCACATCTCTGACTTTCAATTAAAAGCTAGAAATGATTAAGCTGACTTGAAATGAAGGCATGACAAAATCTGAGGTAGGTGGAAAGTTAGGCCTCTTGTACCACAGCCAAATTGTGAATGCAAAGGAGAATTCTTGAGGGAAATTAGTGAACACATGAATGCTAAGAGTGAAACAGCCTTATTGCTGATATGGAGAAAGTGTTAGTGGTCTCAACAGAAGATCAAACCAGCCACAGTATTCCCTTAAGCCAAAGCCTAATCCAGAACAAGACCCTAACTCTTCAATTCTATGAGGACTGAGAGATGAGGAAGCTGCAGAAGGAAAAGTTTGAAGCCAGCAGAGGTGGGTTCATGAGGTTTAAGGGAAGAAGCCGTCTCCGTACATCAAAGTGCAAGGGGAAGCAGCAGGTGCTGATGGAGAAGCTCCAGCAAGTGATCCAGAAGATCGCGCTAAGATAACTAATGAAGGTGTCTACACTAAACAGATAATCAGTGTAGACGAGAAACAACCTTCTATTGGAAGAAGATGCCAAGTAGGACTTCCACAGCTAGAGAGAAGTCAATGCCTGACTTCCAAGCTTCAAAAGACAGGGTATTAGGGGTTAAGGCAGCTGGTGGCTTTAAGTTGAAGCTAATGCTCATTTACCATTTGAAAAATCCTTAAGAATTATGTTAAATCTACTGTGTTTGTGCTCCATAAATGGAGTAAGCCTGGATGACAGCACATCTGTCTGTAACCTGGTTTATTGAATATTTCAAGCCCACTGTTGAGACCTCCTGCTCAGAAAAAAAGATTTCTTTCAAAATATTACTGCTCATTGACAATGCACCTGGGCATCCAAGAGCTCTGATAGAGCTAGACAACAAGATTAACGTTTTCATGCCTGCTAACACAACATCCATTTTGCAGCCATGGGTCATGAAGTAATTTTGACTTTCAAGCCTTATTTAGGAAATAGGTTTTGTAAGGCTTTAGCTGCCATAGCTAGTGATTTCTCTGATGGATCTGGGCAAAGTAAACTGAAAACCTTCAGAAAAGGATTCACCATTCTAGATGCCATTAAGAACATTTGGGATTCATGGGAAGAAGACAAAATATCACCATTAACAGGAGTTTGAAAGAGGTTGATTCCAGCACTCATGGATGACTTGAAGGGGTTCAAGACTTCAGTGGGGGAAGTAAGTGCTGATGTGGTGGAAATAGCAGGAGAACTAAAAGTGGAGCCTGAAGATGGGACTGACTTGCTGCAATCTCATGATAAAACTAACAGATGAAGAGTTGCTTCTTCTGGGGGCGCCTGGGTGGCTCAGTTGTTGGGCGTCTGTCTTCGGCTCAAGTCATGATCCCAGGGTCCTGGGATCGAGCCCCGCATCGGGCTCCCTGCTCGGCGGGGAGCCTGCTTCTCCCTCTCTCACTCCCCCTGCTTGTGTTCCCTCTCTCGCTGTCTCTGTCAACTAAATAAATAAAATACTTTTAAAAAAAAAGTTGTTTCTTCTGGATGAGCAAAGAAAATGGTCTCTTGAGATGGGAACTACTCCTGGTGAAGATGCAGTGAACATTGTTCAAATGACAAAGGACTGATTAATATCACATAAACTTAGTTGATAAAGCAGTGGTAGGATTTGAGAGGACTGACTCCAATTTTGAAAGAAGTTCTACTATAGGTAAAATGCTATCAAACAGCATCACATGCTACAGAGAAATCATTTGTGGAAGTAAGAGTCAACCCGTGTGGCAAAGTTCATTGTCTTATTTTAAGAGCTACCACAG